TTTTTTCTTGAAGGCATTTCCTGGCCAACTCACCAGTAGATAAAACATTTTCCCTAGGAGGCTGTCCAGTTTTGCGTGCAGGGGCTGTTTGCACATCCCATGCAACCACAAGTGATTTTAACGCTGTTTGGCAGGATCTCCCAGGGAAAAGCCCAGAATTAAGTGAAATGGAGACAAAATTGGGCTTTCAGTAGATGGTATGGGCAGAATTCAGATGTTCGGCAGAGCAGAATAAAAATCATCCCACGTATGTGATGGTGCTGCACATAAAATGAGGCTTAGCCCCTTAAACAGCAAAGATGCTTGCTCCGTTTCCAGCAACTTTTATTTCATGTTTGATGCACGTTTCATGTTTCACACACTTGCAAAGGGATTTTTGAGCCCGGTATTGGCTGCTCTCCATGCTGGAATCAACCACATCCTAAAATTACCCCTTCATATCGGAGAGTGTTAAACTGGAAGGACTAACCAGTCGCCCTACAAAGGAGTCAGGATGCCGTCTGGAGGGAGGGAGGGAATCTGGGAACAGGAAAATACCTGTGGCGTTTGCAGAACTACCGAAAGGTATAATCTCCTGCCTCCAGGTGCACAAGCAGGAGGAACTCTTAAAAAACTAATGATTGCATAATTTCATTAAAAGTAGAAGCCCTGCAAAACTAATAAACTGTTTTGAAGGGCTCCTCATATCAATAACTCAACAACTGTATATCAATAATATACAAATATATATTAAGAGCATATATTACCCTAGATTGTATCTTTTTTTACGCTAAATTATGTCTTTTTATATGGCTTTGAGCTTCGTCCCACAGGGTTTGCAGCCCAGCCCTGTCTGAGTGTCGGAGAACCAGATGGGGTGCGGGGGGAAACGACATGATGGAAACCAGATTTAAATAAATGCAGTGACATAATCTGTACGGTTCTTGGCAAGAAAAGAGCAAGTTTGTGCTTTTCATAGCCACTTTTTCAATAAGCTCTAAGTTTCCCTTTTAAGAAATGGTTATAACAAACAGTCCTGATTCCACTCCTATTAAAGTCAGTAGCAGACATCCACTCGGCTTCCACCAAAGCACCCTGCTGAAGCATTGCCACCCCACATGAACTAAGACTCGCCCAGTAATGTTTTTCTCCTAGCTCCAGCTTGGTATTAAGAAACTCAGCCTTCATTTAAACAAGGTGCTGGTGTGAATGCCAGCATGCGTGGGAAGCGCTAGACCTCCTTGTCACATAGAAAACCTTGGAAATTTATACCCTAAAAGCTGAAAACACTAAGGAAAAAGTGCCTAATCTGTTCATCTTTGTTATTTCTAAGCCGAGGACCGAGGTCGAAGAGAGAACTGATACAATTCATTGTTCTGAATTGCCCAGGACTGACAATATTGTTATTGGATTATAGGATTCTTCCGCTCCTTTTGCAGTCGAGCAATAAAAATGTGTATTTGGCACAATTCCCTTGGACCCACTTGGAAAATAAAATCTGTGTTATTTTATGCCAGATGTACAGGACACAGAAAAATAAACACGAGATAATGGGACAACTATAGCGGTTTGGTATTTAAAGGAACGACAACCCAGAGCAATGTCTGTATAATATTTAATGGCTAATCATAGTCTCTAACATCATTATATTATTCTGTTACAGTTTTTTCACACACTGTAAAATACTCTACAGTAACTATATTTTAAAAATCCTAATTAAAAAGAGGAACTCTGTGACAGCAGAAATAACTCAAGGGAACATGGAAAGGCTGTTTAAATTGCTGAGTGCTATCTATCCATCTGAACTCACCTCACACCGCACTTAGGCCTTCGTTTGCAGCAAAAAAAAATCAGCGATCCAGAGCTGGCATAGTGCACATTTCCCAATCATTTCCAGTTTACACCCCAAATTATTGGCAACACAGAGCAAACTCTGGTCCAATGCCCCAGGGGAACTGCTCCTGTCTTAAATGAGTCAGAGTTTGCTTTATGCCCTAAACCATGAGGATTTATAGCGCTTCCAACCAGGATAAAAGCAAGCAGCGGGAAGGAGAGGGTTGGGTAGCACTTCCCAACTGCATCGCGCCTATAGGAGCCCTCAAAACCCTCCGCAAAGCTGCGTACCAGCATCCCAGCTCTCGGGGCAGAGGTGAATTAAGCAAAAGCAGCAGCACAACCAGAAGCAAAGCCTGAACACCAGACGTGTCCTCCTGAGCTGCTCCCATGTGGTTACAGGATGGAAAGGGAAAGACGTAGGATCCCGCCGAACCATCCCAAACACTGAAGGAGTTCAGAGACTTGCGTCTGTGCGTTGGGCAACACGGAGAAGGGAGGGATGTCTGGCTCGAGCACAGATTTCCCCACAGAGCAATCAATCCGCCCACGGCGAAACGAAACGGAGCACAGGCCCAGATCCGCTGTATTTACTCTGGCAAAATGCCTCACTGCGAACAGTGCGAGTTTTGCCTGAATAAATGAGATTCAGGGGCCAGACAGAGCCGAGGTGGGAGCCTGCACGCGAGATCTCTTCGGGCAGGTGTGCAGCAGAGATCAAGGTTACCCTCCTCTTCCTCTCGGGACGTGACCATGCACAGGCTGTTGCGCGTCTCTGCCTTTCTTATCTGGTAAGGCATTTAGGGTACCAAGTCCTCTCTGGTGTTAGCAAAACAGCAGCGACGCCTGCGCTATGTCACCGCTGACATCTCGTGCGAAGGCTGAGTTTTGCAGGCGAGCGACTGGCGCGAGCCAAACAAAGCGGTTTTGAGGCAGGAGCTCAGGACACGGGGAGTGAATTCCCATCCGGACAGAAGTCTGGGCAGCATTCCCGCTGGCCGGAAAAGGCAAAGATTTCATCTGAAGATTTCACCCTGGAAGCCCTACCTCCCCTTTTCCCACCGCCTGCAGTATTTTAGGAGTCGCCGCATGCGGAGGAGGAGGGATTTGCAGACACATCCCAGTGGTCCACCTCCCAGACCGGCTCAGCAGCCCTGCCCTGGGGAGGGGCGGCTGCATTCGGACCCTTCAGCCCCTCCAGGGAGAGCCCAACGCGGGGCGGTTTGCTGGGGACCGGCTCCTCTTCCCGCGCCAGCAGGGAT